CCCTATGTTACTCACTAAAAACGTAGCTTTTAAATGGTGAAAGAATTTTTGAAATCAGCCTAGTAGTTTTTGAGTTATTTCAATACATACAAAAATACAAATCTTTCCGCTTTATAATATTAGTATAGATGAAAAAATTTCGGTTCTCGTTTACATGACATCTAACACATTTTTGCAAGGAAAATGAGACTACGGTTTTTTTGTTATTTTAATACTTTTTAGGGCATATGTTTGTAATTTTCGTTATAGACGGGTTTCTTCACACAATCACAATTAGCTTTAAACTGTCGTGGTTTTTACAAATATAATGTTGGGCTGCAGTCAGCCCGTGAACATGGCGCATGCAACTGTGCCGAAATATCGGGAGCTAAAACAATTCAATCGTGGTAAGAAACCCGTATCTTACGAACATTATAATCACAATTAGATTGTTTAATCCCAACATTCGTAAAAAACCACGTCATTTTGAAGTTGTAGAAACCATATGTTTGCCTTATTAAGTAACTACATATTTAGAGTACACATCTTTGACTAAACTATCGCAAAACTGTTTAGTCTCGATTTGATTCCTATGAGCTTATATAGAGTGCAAACTACTCGATTTTTGGTATGCAACTAAACAGTTGAATTGCCTGCGAATCAATCGACAATCGCACAACAGTTGTCCGATTGTCAATAAGTACTCCGAAAGAGTTGTTAATTGTGATAGTTTATATTTATGTGTCTATTTAAATGTAGCTATATACAAGTCAGATATCGACAAAGCAAATACCGCTTCTATTCGATAAGATTGTAATGACCTTAACCGACTGACACGGAATTACAAAAGGAAGCTATTGTTTCATGTGTTGCTATCGATTTTAAATGCAGCTTGCATGTAAATTTAACTGTTATATTTATGCGAAGAAATACTCCATTTTCTGTTTTTACAGTCACTTATGCTTTATAGATTTCACAGTTGCAATATCCACAGAGTATTAAATAATATACGTGCCAATGTGCGTTCTCATTAAACATAGTTGATTTCCATTCTATCTATACTTCTATACTATTATAATAAAGCGTGAACACACACTTCTTTGTTGCCTAAGATGTCAGCAATTATAGTAATATATTTTAATAATTCTTTTTTCAATAAATAGCCCTACACTTACGTCAGGCTTTAGGCTATATATTTTCACGTATTTAAACTTAGGGGATAGATATTTTGGATAAAAACCCTAATGTGGGAAAGAGACGTTAAGTTGCTGCCAACATCAAGAAAGAAAGATTGCTAAGATTTGACTATGTCATTTCATTTTGACATTGCTATTGATAATTCAACAAATGTAAACAATAAAATAAAATTTTCATAATTTCATGCGAATGAAGACGCACGGGAACAGCTAGTAAATTATAGGGACGCGTAGAGTCGTAGTGAACGTTATTGTTCTGTGATTTGTGTTCTTTTTTTTATCTATTTTCTAAGTTTCTACTTAAAATCTATATCTATACTTCTATACTAATATAATAAAGCGTAAACACACTACTTCGTAGCGTAGGATGTTAGGAATAACAGCATATTTTTTAATAATTATTTCTCTAATAAAAACCCCTATACTTACGACGCGCTTTAGGCTATATTTTCACGCTATTTAACTTAGGGGGTAAATAAATTGGAAATCCTTCATGTTGGAAAGGGACCTTAAACTACAAGCTGCTAACATTAAGGAAGCAAGGTCTCAGTAACGGTAATTTTGACATTTGCAATTGAGAATTTGACAAATGTAAACAATAAGATACAGTTATTATAATTTCATGCGGATGAAGCCGCACGGGAACAGCTAGTAGTTACACACATTTACTCAAAGGAAATATTATTTTATTTAGAAAAAAAAACTGTGTTGAAACATTTTTGAAAGACCTGAGAATTAAATTTACCATTTTAATGTAGGAAGGGGAAATATCCTCTTTATGTGCGTCTCCTCCTCTGTCAGATAAGGGTAGGCAACGCATCTGCAATTGCGGATGTCTATGGGCAGCAGTCGCTTCGCCATTTTCGCGGATTCAGGTGGCCGCTTGCTTGTTTGCCACCTTATGTTATAAAAAAAAATAGTACACATTTAATTATATATGTGACTACGTACATAACATTTTGTTTTAAATTATTCACATTTACTTCACAAACTCATTA